CCCCAGAATGGAGTGGAGCAGACAAGTAACAACTTTTCCTTGCTACAGCTGGAGCAGAGAAGAGAGGAGCAGAACTGTAACACTTTCCCTGGGGAAACCTTCCCCTGCCCAAGAGCAAAGTTGTTACATGGGAGAAACATTCCTTGGAGTAGGGCTGTAAGCTGTTACGTTTATGCATATGGTGACTTTGTGGTACTTCTTGGCTCCCAACTGCCAGGATTCCTTTTCATCCAAGCTGCAATACTTATACTCATGGGTCAGGATTAATATAGTAAAAATGGCCATCCATTGCATCTACAAGGAAGATCCTAGATTACACTTCTAGCAACAGCAGATACACAGCTGGATCTGGCCATCTCCTGTGACCAAATTGGTGCCTAGTCCATTGTCATCAGAGAGGTGTCATCCAGCAACTGATGGAAACAGATACAGATCAATTTTAGAATATTATATTAAGGTGTGCTACATTTGTTTATGCTGTAGAATATTTGTTTTAATGATGAAAAATATGTTGCATTCTTTTGTTGCATTTGTTTAACTCTATGAAGCTGTGTTACTTTGCTTGTCTAAAACATCTGATTGGTCTCATAAACACCTGAATGACCAATAGCTAGGCAGGAGAAAGGACAGGTAGGGCTGACAGGCATAGAGAATAAATAGGAGAAATCTGGGGAGAAAAGATTGAGGTATGAAAGAAAGGAGCAGAGGAAGACTCCAGGGGCCAGCTGCTCAGCTACAAGGTAAGTCACGGAGTAAGAAGAAAGGTATACAGTAATAGAAAAGGTTAAAGCCCTGAGACATAAGGTAGACAGGATAATTTAAGTTAAGAAAAGTTGGTTAGAAACAAGCCACGCTAAGGTCAGGCATTTATAAGTAAGAAAATGTTTCCATGTATGACTATTTAGGACCTGGATGGTAGGTCCCCCAAAAGAGTCAAAGAGGAAAGAGAAAAACAACCAACTACATAGACTCACAGTCAATCATTAGGAGCTCAGGGAATCTTGCAGAGGAGGAGAAAGGATGATAGGAGCCAGAGAGGCCAAGGACATCATAAGAAAACTCACAGAATCAACTAAATTGGATCATAGGGGCTCACAGAGACTGAACCAACAACCAGAGATCCTGCATGGGAATGACCTAGGCACTCTGCATATGTTAGTTATGTAGGTTGGTCCTCTTCTGGGACTAACAGTGGGAAGAGGGGCTGTCTCTGACTCTTACTGCCTTTTGGGATCCTACTCCCATCCTGGGTCACCTTACCCAGGCTTAAAACACAGGGGAGGGGGTTGTTTAGTCTTACTGCAACTTGATATGCCATGTTTAGTTGATACACATGGGTGACCTGACCTTTCCAAAACAGAAACAGAGGAGGAGTGGGTTGGAGAGTGGGAAAAGGGAGAATGGGGGAGGGAATGGTAGGTGAGGAGGGAGGGGAAACTTTGCCTGTGATGTAAAATAAACAAATAAATTTATTTTTAAAAAATGGCCATCCTATTTTTAAAAAATCCATCAATATAATCCACCAGATAAACAATCTGAAAAAGAAAAACCACATGATCATCTCACTAGATGCTGAAAAAGCTTTTGACAAAATCCAGCACCCCTTTCATGATAAAGGTCTTGGAAAGATCAGGGATAACAGGAACATACCTAAAAATAATAAAAGCTATAAACAGCAAACCAACAGCCCCCACCAACCCAAATGGAGAGAAACTAAGGGTGATTACTCTAAAATCAGGAGGAAGACAAGAATGTCCACTCTCTCCATATATCTTCAATATTTTACTTGAAGATCTAGCTAGAGCAATATGACAACAAAAGGAGATCAAGGGGATACATATTGGAAAGGAAGAAGTTAAACTTTCCCTATTTGCAGATGATATGATAGTCTATATAAGCAACCCAAAGAACTCTACCAGGAAACTCCTTTAACTCATAAACACCTTCAGCAAACTAACAGGATACAAAATTAACTCAAAATATCAGTAGCCCTACTGTATATAGACAATAAAGGGGATGAGAAACAAATCATAGAGACATCATCCTTTACAATAGCCACAAACACCATAAAATATCTTGGGGTAACTCTAAACAAATATGTGAAAGAGCTGTATAACAAGAACTTTGAGTCTTTAAAGACATAAATTAAAGAAAATACCAGAAAATGGAAAGATCTGCCATGCTCTTGGATAGGAAGGATCAATGAAATAAAAATGGCAATCTTACCAAAAGCAATCAACAAATTCAGTACAATCCCTATCAAAACAGCAGCACAATTTTTCACTGACCTCGAAGGAAGAATCCTCAACTTTATATAGAAAAAAAAACAGGATAGCCAAGGCAGCACTGTACAATAAAGGAACTTCTGGAGGCATCACCACCTTGCCTTCGAGCTCTATTATTGAGCTATAGTCATGAAAACAGCTTGGTATTGGTACAAAAGCAGACAGGTAGACCAATGGAGTCGATTGAAGACCCTGATATCAACCCACACACCTTTGAACACTGATCTTTGACAAAGAAGCTAAAACTATACAATGGAAAAAAGAAAGCATCTTCAACAAATGGTGCGGGCATAACTGGATGCAGGCATGTAAAAGACAACAGATAGATCCATAACTATCACCATGCACAAAACTTAAGTACAAATAGATCAAATACCTCAACATCAATCCAGCCACAATGAATCTCTTAGAAGAGAAAAGGAGAAGTACTCTTGAATGAATTTGTACAGGAGACAGCTTCCTGAACATAACACCAATAGCATGGACACTGAGATCGAAATTAATAAATGGGACCTCCTGAAACTGAGAAGCTTCTGCAGGGCAAAGGACACTGATGTGGGAAGCCCTGTGATTATGTCAATAAAGCACTGTTGGGCCAATAGGAATCTAGATAGGTTGGACTAGGGTCCAGGAGGACCTGGGAAGGAGAAACATGGAGAGTCAAGATGTAACGCCATGGGGTAGGAAGCCCGGAACTATTCTCTGGTAAGAGAAATACTTAAATTAACAAGTATTATGGGGTAATTACTTAAGTCAGAGTTATCTAGTAAGAAACAAGCAAGGCCAACAGCTTCATAATTAATATAGACTCCTGTGTGTTTATTTGGGACTGATGCAGCTGTAGAACCAGGCTGGCAGGAAGGCTTCTCTCAAGGAAAAGGTTTCGAATTACAGGACACAGTCAACAAGATAAAATAACAACACACAGAATGGGAAAAGATATTCAATAACCCAACATCTAAGAGAGGATGGCTAAGAATGTTGAGTATTTTCTCAGGTGCCTCTCACCCTAGGATTCAAGAGTTAACTCTTGTCAGGTCAGCTGTTTCTGGGGGTTAAACCAGCCCAGTCTTAATCCATTTGGTCCTCAGTCCTCCCTCTCTGTTACTGGCTTTCTTGAGTTCAGCTCAGTGCTTAGCCATGGGAGTCTGCCTCTGCTTCCATCAGCCACTGAATGAAGTTTCTGTTTCCCAGACACTCTGGCCATGGGATTTGTAGGCTGGCACTCCCCAGATCTATGTCTAAAATCCATATATGAGAGAGTACATGCCATGTTTCTCTTTTGTGACTGGGTTACCTCACTCAGGATGGTTTCTTCTAGTGTCAATCCATTTGCCTGCAAATCTCAGGATTCCATTGTTTTTTCTGCTGAATAGTACTCCATTGTGTAAATATACCACATTTCTCTATCCACTCTTCGGTTGAGGGGCATCTAGGTTGCTTCCAAGTTCTGGCTATTACAAATAATGCTGCTATGAACATAGCGGAACAGACATCTTTGTTGTATGAATGGGCATCTTTTGGATATATGCCTAAGAGTGGAGTTGCTGGGTCTTGTGGTAGGTTTATTCCCATTTTTCTGAGGAATCTCCATACTGATTTCCAAAGTGGCTGAACCAGTTGGCACTACCACCAGCAATGGAGGAGTGTCCCACTTTCACCTCATCCTCTCCAGCATAAATTGTCATTGGTGTTTTTGATTTTTGCCATTCTGACAGGAGTGAGATGGTATCTCAGAGTTGTTTTGATTTGCATTTCCCGGATGGCTAAGGATGTTGAGCACTTTCTCAAGTGCCTCTCAGCCATTTTAGACTCCTCTATTGAAAATTCTCTATTTAGTTCTGCAGCCCACTTTTTAATTGGATCCTTTGGTGTTTTGGAGACTTGCTTCCTGAGTTTTTTGTAAATTTTGGAGATCAACCCTCTGTCAGATGTGGGATTAGTGAATATTTTTCCAATTCTGTGGGCTGCCTTTTTGTCTTGCTGACTGTGTCCTTTGCCTTACAGAAGCTTCTCAGTTTCAGGAGGTCCCATTTATTAATTGTTGATCTCACTGTCTGTGCTACTGGTGTTATGTTCAGGAAGCTGTCTCCTGTACCAATTCGTTCAAGGGTACCACCCACTTTCTCTTCTAAGAGGTTCAGTGTGGCTGGATTTATGTTGAGGTCTTTGATCCATTTGGACTTAAGTTTTGTGCATGGCGATAAACATGGATCGATCCGCATTCTTCTACATGCCAGCCTCCAGTTATGCCAGCACCATTTGTTGAAGATGCTTTCTTTATTCCATTGTATATTTTTAGCTTCTTTGTCAAAGATCAGATGTTCATACGTGTGTGGGTTAATATCCAGGTTTTCAATTCGATTCCATTGGTCTACCTGTCTATTTTTGTGCCAATACCAAACTGTTTTCAGAACTATAGCTCTATAATAGAGCTTGAAGTCAGGGATGGTGATGCCTCCGGACGTTGCCTTGTTGAACAGGGTTGTTTTGGCTATCCTGGGTGGCAATCCTGCCAAAATCAATCTACAGATTCAATGCAATCCCCAGCACAATTCTTCACAGACCTTGAAAAACAATAATCAATTTTGTATGGAAAAACAAAACAGGTTCACACTCTTTACAAACAAAATGTCAACTATGTGGTTGTGGTTTCTGGTTAGAAACAGCTCAGAGACTGAGCCTCAGTGCACAGCAGCCCCAGGAAGTTTTGGTTTAGCCCTGGAGCACTGTGAGAGGAACCGCTAGACCTTGCTGACAGTAATAGGTTGCAACATCATCAGCCTCAACAGAATGGATGGTGAGGGTGAATTCTGACCCAGACCCACTGTTGCTGAACCTGGCAGGGACCCCAGATGCTAGGCTGGATGCATCATAGATGAGGAGTTTGGAGTGCTGTCCTGGTTTCTGTTGATGCCAGTTCATAAGATGAATACCAACGGTAGTGACACTGTGACTGGCTTTGCTGGAGATGGTGGCACTTTGCCCTGGAGACACAGTCAAAGTAGCTGGAGACTGGGTCAGCACAATGTCCCCAGCAGAACCTGGAGTGATAAGCACACATTGCTGTCACAGATATCCTGAAAGCACCCCAGTGTAAAACCATCATATACAGGGAAGCTGTAACAGCAATCATGAGCTATACTCTGAGAAACATAAAATAAAACGAAAATTTTAAATCAATTAAATGCTATAATTTCATTGATCATGACACCAAGTCATAGAAATCAATAGTGGCCAGAGTGGGTTTTCCCAATATTACATACAGTCTCTCACCTGGAACCCCAAGCAGCAGTACTCACAGCAGCAGAGCACCAGACCCCATCTCTGAGACCTTAACTAGAGGCTGCTTCTTGGGCACTGCAAGCTTCCTTTAAAGATGGATGAATAATCCGCACTGTGGGTAAAGTCTCCATATGCAAATCAGTTCAGAAGAGCTTGGCTGGTACCCACAGAACACCTGCTCTTGTGTGACCTTATGGCAGTTAGGATTAGGAAAGAATCCCCTAGAGTATTTTACTATATTCCATGTGAAGTTGTGGCAGGCCCTGTGGAATCATCACGGTGATTTACTGTGAGGTTCCACATGGAGAGTGCACTGTCACTACACTGCTGTAAGGGTGGGAATTGCAGGAGCACTGAGATCCCTCAGAATTAAATTTTATTTATTTCTACTTTGTGTGTATGTGTGTATTGTCTACATCTATGCCTGTGCATCTAGTGTGTGTGTGTGTGTGTGTGTGTGTGTGTGTGTGTGTCTTGCCCTTGAATTCCAGAAAGGAACATGTGGTCCACTAGAACTGGGAATACAGGAGATTACAAGTTGCCATATGGATGCTGGAATCTGAGCCCATGTCCTCTACAAGAACAAGGAGGGATATTAACCACTTAGATAACACTCAGTCCCCAAACTAACTTTTTAATCTCAACTCAGCATCAAAGTATTTGGCATTGTGATACTTCTGACAAACAGGAAACAATCTGGTTTTGCAATAAAGAAAAAAGAATGTGTCATGGTTTGGATTAGAAACTGAAGTTGATTCCACTGAATGCTTTATTCTAAAAGTCATTAAAACAGAAGAGGCAGTGAGCTGTGAGCATGGAATGAAGAACGGGCCTGGAAACCTAAACTTACAATGAACATGTGCCACTGTGGAAAAGGCAGGTCTCTCCATCTCATGTCAATCCAATGCTGACCCCACAGGATGTGTTCACAAACTTATAGACAGAGAGACAAATATCCTAGTAATGTTTTCTCTGAAACAGAAAGAAGGATAATGATGCTAGATTGTCCCTATAGACAATCACATCAATTCCACAAAGGACAACAGACATATGACAAACTCCAGGTTAGCTGGAAAGTGGCGGTCTTTCATTAATAGGCATTTACCTGTCTTTGTGTCACCTGAATTAGATGCTCTGACAGTGGTGAATAGGGTATATAATTAGAGGGAAACTCAGACACATTTCCCCTTCCAGGTATTTGACAAGGTGAAAAAGCATAGATCCTGATATCCCCACATAGGACCATTAGTTTCCATGGTGCTCAGTGAAGCTTGGTTCTCCCGGCAAAAGAACAATCTAGCTTGATTGCTTCCTGAAACTCTAGATCTCCAGGCTGCTTTTTGTATGTTCCTGGCTCTATCTGTTACCTGTAGTTAGTTCTTTGAGTGGGGTTAAATCCTCATAGGCTTTCACCTACCTACTTTGGAGTGTCTATTGTTGTCCTCAAACAGCTCATGTCTAGACAATCATGTAGGTGAGAGTTAACAAATACAGCATCTGACATTCCTAAGAAAAACAGTTTCTCTTACTGTTTCTCTAACTTTTGGAATCACTCAGCTGCCTCCTCCAACAAGATCACTGAGATTTTAGTGAGAGATTTTTTTTGTATATGTGTCAGTTGGGAATAATCTACACAACATTGCAATTTATTCAGTTGTGGTTTTCAATTTAGACTCCATATGTTGCAAACAGAAGTTCACAGGGTGAGGAGTGAAGACTACACTGTCTTTGTATTTAAAGACAAGTATCTACAGTTAGGAAGTATGATGTTTTAGTAAAGTGGTGATTATAGGATCTCTCCAAGATCCAGAACGTCCATGGCCCTTTTTAGTTATCTAGGCATGAGTCTATGATGAGGCATGAGTTCCCCATTTTTGTTTTGAAGTGTTAGGATGGCTTTCTACGGGGAAGTTAAGAAAACTTCCTACATTACTGAAAGAATTCCTCAGTGGGTACAAAAGGAAGGTGTCCTCCTCATATTGGAAGAGACTAACATATGAGTGAGAGTATTGACACAGGTCCCTTAATGGTGCCTCTCCACAGTGAGGGCTATATAGAAACTGATGGGGAATATAGTGCAGATGAACTAATGATCTGGTTTGAGTGTTCTCAAAAGCAGAGACAGAAATATCCAGGGTGCAAAGTCATACAGGACAAAGCATCTTTTAAACATCACTGTGAAATATTTGGGTTCCTAAATGGAGTAGTGTTAACAAATTATAGAAATCGGGGCTAAAAGATGTATAGAGACCATGGTACAGTTAACAAAAATGACCTGTACTGACCTCCATTACTCATTAGTCTTTTAAACCCTGGATATAGGGTGTTACAGAGACTGTTGCATGATTTTGTGGTGCTGTAACATTAACCTGTCTATGATGATTTCAAATCATTAAAAACTCCCAATATTGCCGGGCAGTGGTGGCGCATGCTTTTAATCCCAGCACTCGGGAGGCAGAGGGAGGCAGATCGCTGTGAGTTCGAGGCCAGGCTGGACCAACAGCCTCCAAAACAATACAGAGAAACCCTGTCTCATAAAAAATAAAAAATAATTGTAAAAAAAAACTCCCAATATTGAAGATATATTCTAAGGGTCCTCCTTTTAGCCTAGCTTCTCTGGGGCTGTGGATTAGCATCCTGGTTATCTTCTATTTTATCTCTAAGATCTATTTATGAGTGAGTACACACCATGTTTGTCTTTCTGGGTCGGAGTGACCTCACTCAGGATGATTTTTCCTAATTCTATCCATTTGCCTTAACAATTCATGATGTCATTGTTTTTTACTGCTGAGTAGTACTCCATTATGTAAAATACCACATTTTCATTATCCATTCTTCTGCTGAGGGATTCTAGGTTGTTTCAATATTCTGGCTACTACAAATAATGCTGCTATGAACATAGCTAAGCAAGTGTCCTTGTGGTTTGTAGCTAGGACACTCGTGTGACAGAGAGCATGTAAACTCTGTAGTTGAGGCCTTTGGTGACTTCATACAGTGCGTTAGGCTAAAATGACTCCCTACTTAGACAGTCAAACTGCTACCATGTGTTACTTGGCTTTGGAAAACCATACAAAACTGTTCAGACAATTTCCTATAAGAAAAACTGCAGAACAACGAATTACTGCTGAATTCTGTACCGAATGGGAAACACAGGCAACCCTTAATGGTTCTATCAGCTCTGCCATGTCAGACAGAAAATACACAGCAGAAGAATAAACATTATACAAATAAATTCTAAAAAAGTATATATGATTAGAGGTAGTGAAAGTTTTAGTGTATATATTTGTATTTTTTTATTTAAATTTAAATTAGAAACAAGGTTGCTTCACATGTCAATTCCAGGTCCCTCACACTTTCCCTCCACTCCTCCCGTGCCCTCCCACCAACAACCCTAACATCCCCTCATTTCCCCAGGGAGTGTGAGGCCCTCCATGGGGAGTGTCCATAGAATGTCATTTCATCCAGGGAAGGTCCTGATGGGAGTCCAAAGTCAATTTGTATACCCGGGATAAATACTGATCTACTACCCAAGGCTCAATAGATTAACTAGGCCTCCTCACTGACACCCACAATCAGGGGGTCTTGATCAGTCCCATGCTGGATTTCTTGAGTTCATCTCAGTGCTTAGCCATGGGAGTCTGCCTCTGCTTCCATCAGCCACTGAAAGAAGGTTCTGTTTCCCAGACTCTCTGGCCATGGGATTATAGGCTGGCATTCCCCAGATCTATGTCTAAAATCCATATATGAGAGAGTACATGCCATGTTTCTCTTTCTGTGACTGAGTTACCTTGCTCAGGATGATTTCTTCTAGTGCTGTCCATTTGCCTGCAAATCTCAGGATTCCATTGTTTTTTCTGCTGTATAGTACTCCATTGTGTAAGTGATATATGCCTAAGAGTGGAGTTTCTGGGTCTCGTGGTCAGTTTATTCGCATTTTTCTGAGGAATCTCCATAGATCAGCCCTCTGTCAGATGTGTGGTTAGTGAATACTTTTTCCCATTCTGTGGGCTGCCTTTTTGCATTGTTGGCTGTGTCCTTTGACTTACAGAAGCTTCTCAGTTTCAGGAGGTCACATTTATTAATTGTTGATCTCACTGTCTGTGCTACCAGTGTTATGTTCAGGAAGCTGTCTCCTGCACCAATTCGTTCAAGGGTACTACCCACTTTCTCTTCTGAGAGGTTCAGTGTGGCTGGATTTATGTTAAGGAATTTGATCCATTTGGACTTAAGTTTTGGCATGGCGATAGACATGGATCGATCCCCATTCTTCGACATGCAAGCATCCAGTTACACCAGCACCATTTGTTGAAGATGCTTTCTTTTTTCCATTGTATACTTCTAGCTTCTTTGTCAAAGATTAGCTGTTCATATTTGTGTGGGTTAATATCAGGGTTTTCATTTTGATTCCATTGGTGTACCTGTCTGTTTTTGTGCCAATACTAAGCTGTTTTCAGGACTATAGCTCTATATTAGAGCTTGAAATCAGGGATGGTGATTCCTCTGGACACTGACTTGTTGAACAGGGTTGTTTTGGCTATCCTGGGTCTTTTGTTTTTCCATAAAATAGATTCATACTACAAGGATGTCTGTTCCACTATGTTCATAGCAGCATTATTTGTAACAGCCAGAACTTGGAAGCAACCTAGATGCCCCTCAACCAACGAATGGATAGAGAAAATGTGGTACACTTAACAATGGAGTACTATTCAGCAGAAAAAAACAATGGAATCCTGAAATTTGCAGGCAAATGGATGGCACTAGAAGAAACCATCCTGAGCAAGGTAACCCAGTCACAAAAAGAGAAACATGGCATGTACTCTCTCATATATGGATTTTACACATAGATCTGTTGAGTGCCAGCCTACAATCCCATGGCCACAGAGTCTGGGAAACAGAACCTTCATTCAGTGGCTGATGGAAGCAAAGGCAGACTCCCACGGCTAAGCACTAAGATGAACTCAAGAAATCCAGTGACACAGTGGGAGGACATATGACCAATGGGTTTAAGACTGGTCTGGTTTATCCCCCAGAAACAGCTGACCTCACAAGGGTTAGCTCTTGAATCCCAGACTAATGCCTGGGAATCCAACATGGGACTGATCAAGACCCTCTGAATGTGGGGAGGCATCGGTAATCTATTGAGCCTTGCGAAGTAGATCAGTATTTATCCCAGGTATACAAATGGACTTTGGACTCCCATCCAACAATGAGAGATGCACTCTCATCTGAACTCTTGGGGGAGGGTCTAAGCTCTGCCCTGGATGAAATGACAGACTATAGACACCCCCATTGAGGGCCTCACCCTTCCTGGGGAAATGAGGGGATATTGGGGGGTTGTGGGAGAGCACGGGATGTGGGGAGAGAAATGGAAAGGGACCTGGAATTGACATGTGAAGAAACTTTGTTTGTAATTTAAATTTAAAAATAAAAAATATAAAAAAAACTCAAGACCAAATGGATCAAGACATTAGTATAAATCCATCCACACTAAACATCATAGAAGAGAAAGTGTGAAAACCTTGAATGTATAGACACAGGAGACCACTTCCTAAATAGAGCACCAGTAGCACAGACACTGAGAGCAACATTTAATAAATGGGACTTCCTGAAACTGAGAAGTTCCTGTAAAGCAAAGAACATGATCAACAAGACAAAATGGCTCCCTACAGAATGGGAAAAGATCTTCACCAACCCCGCATCTGACAGAGCTCTGATCTCCAAAATATCTAAAGAACTCAAGAAACTAGAGTTCAAACTACCAAATAATCCAATCAAAAACTGGGGTACCGATCAAACATAGAATTCTCAACACAACTATCTCAAATGGTGAAAAGACACTTAAAGAAATGCTCAACAGGACTTATAAAGCACAGGCAGGCAAATCTCTGAGTTCAAGGCCAGCCTTTCTATATAGTGAATTCCAGACCATCCAGAGCTTCATGGTAAGACCCTGTCTCAAAAACAAAACAAATAAATCCTAGCTTAAAATATCAATCAGTATTTGGAAATCAGATAATTAATAATGTTTAATATTTAAAATTATTTTTATTTAAATGGCTGGGTAAAGTTTCAATAATTGTCTAAGTAAAAAATTATTAAACCTAAAAAACTTGTTTGAAAAATTCTAAGCTGGAACATCATTCATTAGTAGCAAAATTATTTAATTATAAGGTAGTCAGGGGAAACAAATGCTCCCATGAACATAAGAACTTTCTGTTTTGTAGATACTATCCTTTTTCTAACAAGTCTTACACAGACCCTAGTTGAGGTGCCTCAAGGGAAATATATCTGAGGAACTGAGTCTTACTATACAGCAAACCCAGGAGGTTTTTGCTTAGGCATAGAGGGCTGTGGGAGGACGGTCCAATCCTTGCTGACAATAATAGGTTGCAATATCATCAGCTTCCACAGGGTGGATGGTTAGGGTAAAGTCTAATGCAACCTCATCGCCACTGAACCTGGCAGGGATCCCAGACGCTGGGTGAAATTCATTGTAGATCAGGAGTTTCATAGGTTGTCCTGGTTTCTTTTGATACCAATGCATAAGATTTATGCCAAATCTATTGACACTCTCGCTAGACTTGCAAGAGATGGTGACTTTTTGTCCCAGAGACACAGACAAAGAAGCTGGGGACTGGGTCAGAACAGTGTCCCCAGTGGAGCCTGGAATGATAAACACAAAACTACTATTGCAGATGTACAGGAAGCATCTCACTGTGAGACATGTGACTCCAATGACCAACATCCCAGAGGCATGTGAAACAATACATGCTCCCAACACTTCCCTGCACCCCCTCACCTGGTACCCAGAGCAGCAGCACCAATAGCAAAAAAGCAGCTGGCTTCATCTCTGAGAGTTGAACTAGAGCTTCAGTCTTAAGACACTAGCAAGCTGCCCTTAAAGATGCTTTGAGCAGCCTGGACCATTGGCTATTGGTGCAACATGCAAAGCAGCTCAGTAAACTTAGTACTTGGAGGGACAACCTACTGTTGTTTCAGTGGTAGTTGAGGTTGAAAAACCATTCACAGAGTGGCTCAAGCATGTCCTAAGAGATTTCTTGACTGCCCTATTGAATCTTCACTTCATTTCTTCACAATAGTTTTATATAATGTATTCTGGTCATGTTTTCCCTCTCCAAACTTTCTACATCCTTCCTAACTGTCTACTCATCCCACTTAATAATCCCCCTCCTTTTCTTTCTTTCCTTCTCTCACTCAAAACAAAAAACTCAAAATCTAAACAAAAAAGTAAGACAAAAAATTACTGCATGGATGTTCTAGTATAAAAAATAAGAGAATTTTAGAATCATTTTTGAAATCTCAATAATATCCAAGCCTTCAAACAAGAGTGCATTTCACATTGTGATCCTTAGCAAGAAGAGAAAGCATTTGGATCTTATATAATGGTGAAAGGATATAGCTTCCTTTGGTTTCAAGGGGAATTTGCAACACTAAGTGGCCATCAAGCTATAAATGTCATCAAGAGCTAAGACTCTGAGAGACATGTGCATGGAATGCAGATCATTGTGAACAAGCAGGTTCCTCCCCCATTAATTACTCCAAAATCTAATACTAGAGCAGCAAGATACCCTAAAGGCAGAGCAGTTGTCCTACTGGGACATATTCAGGGTGGAGTGTACCTAGTTACCCAACTGCCACTTTTTTTTGTTCTTGCCAAAAGAAGTTAGAACTGAGGAACCTAAGTTATTTTTCTACAAAATTTGGTGCTCCCAAACATTAGAAACTAATGTTAGATTGGTTTTGAAAACATTAAAACTATTAACTTAAAAGGCTAAGAAAGTAAGAAATTAGCTGACAATTTTAGTTAAACATTCTACTATGAACAAACACAGCAACCATCATAAAATTTTTAAGCATTATAATTTTTGCAATAGGAGAAAACTGTCATAGAAAACCACCAATCAAACTGCAGGGTTGTCAAGTCTAATCTCAATGGATACATCTGCACAAGAACTCCCTCAGCTAAGACTAAGAGTGGTCAGAAAGATTGCAAGAACCAGAGGATCTGGGAGTTTGTTATGAGACTGTGTTTCTGAGTGTGGTCAAAATCTACACCTATAAAGTCTCACAAACGTGACTGCTTAAACACTAGCTGGACCAGGACAACAACAATAGATATGCTAAAAGGAATGGGGGAAAGAACACAGAAATGACAGATCATGACTTTATTCAAATTTAATCTGCTCCTATTTACATTTTTATAGAAGAGAATTCAGTCTTCATTTTGTGGATATGAAACCATTTAGGGAAATAAATATGAATAAAAATGGCAGAGTTTCAACACACAATCAGTCAGTTCACGACTGGGATAGATCCTGTGCCCAGAAGTAGTTGACCAAAATAAAACAAACAAACTAAATGGTATTTTGTGGGTTGTTTGTTTCACTATTTGTTTTGGCATTTTTCAGTTTTTTGATCTTTTGTTTTGATATTTTGTTTTGGGAGGTCTAGGTTTCTTGTTTGTTGTGTTTCTTGTTTGTGTTTTTGTTCCAAAGAGAGAGAAAAAAACATAAAGTTGAGTGAGTAGGAAGGTGAGGAAGATCTTAGATGAATTGGGGAAGGAAAAATTATGTTCAAAACATATTTATGAAATTTTTTCAAGAAAAAATAAAACTGCACTTCTTAAAATTCAAATTTAAGAAGAAAATCTGGATTGAAGAGCTGACTCAGCAGCTAAGAATACCAGCTGCTCTTCCAGAGGACCCAGAACCCACATGGCATCTTGCAACTATATATAATTCCAGTTCCAGGGGGTCTGATACCCTCACTCACACACACATGCAAGCAAGATACCAATGCCCATAAAATAAAATAAATTTTAAAAAATGAATAATATAAATTTTAAAACTGGAAAAATATAATTTAAAAAGAAAATTTTTTAATTGCCATGTATTTGTCTCATTCTAAATATCTTCTTCTTTAATAAATCCCTTACTAAAGATATCTCTGTCACCATTTATCAAAATATTTTTAGGTTCCATAACATCTTGTATAAAGCAAAATTTTTAATAAAAATAAAATTTTCTCCTTAAAATAAAAAGAGCTTTGAACAGTTAAATCATTAGCTATTTTTCTTTCAGATACATACTTACATTCTTGCCTTAATATTTTTTCATTGCTTCTACTTCCTTGACCTTACAGTTTTCCATATGCTTTCAGAAATATGTCTGTGCTGCAACTATTTATACATCTTTGATTTCAATTACTGAATCCCTGTATCCATTCCAAAACACCTCCTTATTTTTAGGATATGTTATTTGTCCTTTTCTCCTTGCTCTGTATTTGTCTTTTTATACCTTCCATATGTCTTATCAATATTTTTCTCTTGTGTTTTTCTATCTTTCCTTTTGATTTTTTTTTTGGCTTGGTGCTTGTTTTGACAAGTTCTCACTGCATAACACAGAACAATTTAGGACCCACTATGTATTTCCTGCTAACACTGAACTCATGATCCTCCTGTCTTTTCCTGCTGAGTTCGAGGAGTCCCAGGCATGTGTCATCTTATCCAGATCTTTTTTTATTTTTTTATTGCTCCAACATTGCAGATAGAAAACTCTAGAAGCCTGGGCTTACACACCCACAATCACAGAAGGTTAGAGACCTCCTAACTCTACCTTGGGCTTCTTTGTGCTTCCATTTCCTTCCAAAAGGTGGCGAGAAAGTTCAACAAAATGATTTTTGCAGCATTTGATTGAATGCTGTACACATTTCTGCACATTTCACATTTACAGTCCAAGTTGACTACATATGAAATTATACTGCTGGATTTGTTTTTTTTTAACTGTTCCATGATACATTATCACAAGCTCAATGAATTAATTCTCACTGATGTGAGCAAAGACCTGACAAAAACAACTTAAAGAAGGAAAGGTTATTTCCTTCTCCCAGAAACTATCAAATGCAGATATCTCCTCAGGAAGGGGTCGCACCTGGAAATCATCAAGCCCATCTATGACAGTATCTAGGTAACTCCAACTGCTGTGAGTTCATGAGAGAGATAAAGAAATCATATTCAGAAGACAGCATTTCATATTGCTCTTCCTGATCCTCTGGTTCTTGCATTCTTCATTTCAACTTCTTTTTAGCTGTTATTTATTTTTCATGTTTTTTATATCCCAATTACAGTTTCCTCTCCCTTCTCTTCTTCCAGTGTATTGTTCCAGACTCCACCACCATCTATTCCTCCTCTGTTTCTCTTCATAAAATGGCAAGCCTCCTATGGATAGCAACCAAACATGGCAAATCAAGTTAGAGTAAGACTAGGCACATCCCCTCATATCAAGGCTGAATTGGGCAATTCACTACGAGGAATAGGGTCCCAAGAGCAGACAAAAGAATAAGAGACAGCCTCTGATCCCACTGTTAGGACTCCCATAAGAAGACCAGGCTACACAATTGTAACATGTATGCAGAGGACCTAAGTCAGACCTGTACAGGCTCCCTACTTATTGGTTCATTCTCTGTGATCTAATATGAGCCAAGTTTAGTTGATTCTGTGGTTTTTTTTTCTTGTGATGTCCTTGACCTTTCTGACTCCTACAATCTTTACTTCCCCTGTACCATAGGATTGCACAAGTTCTAACTAATGATTGGCTGTGAATCTCTGCATCTGTTTCTGATGACAAATGCTGTCTTCTCTTCTTAACATCCCCCAAAGACTTGGGGGATGGGGTGAATGGATGTCCATTTAGGGCTCAGCACACTGTCTCTTATTCTCTGCAGTTTTGACAGTTCTGACTGTCCATTGACTACTATGCACTATAAAAAAAACCTTATCTGACAAAGGTTTAGAACAGCCCAAGTGAGTGGACATAAATAAACACTTAGAAGAACTTGCTTTAAAAAGAAAAATATAATAAATTTATTTTTATAATGAAAATACTTTGTATAATTTTAAAAAATAAAAAAGTATGTGTGTTCAAACTTTACAAATTGCCACAAACAACATAAAATACACTGGGGCAGTTCTAACCAAACAAGTGAAAGACCTATATAGCAAGAACTTTAGTCTTTAAAGAAGGAAATTAAAGAAGATACCAGAAAATGGAAAGATCTCCCATGATCTTGAATAAGTAGTATCAAGAGAGTAAAAAATGGCAATCTTGCCAATAGCAATCTGCAGATTCAATGCAAACCCCATGAAAATTCCAGAACAGATCTTTACAGATTTGAAAAAGCAATACTCAAATTTATATGGAAAAACAAACACTAAAGATAGTCAAAACAACCCTGTACAATAAAGGAATTTCCAGAGGTGTTACCATCCTTGGCTTCAAGATCTATTATAGAGATATGGTCTGGAAAACATCTTGGAATTGGCACAAAAATAGACAGTTAGGCCAATAGAATCGAATTAAACACCCCAATATTAACCCACGCACGTACGAACATCTGATCTTCAGCAAAGAAGCTAAAAATATACAATGGAAAAAAGAAAGCATCTTCAACAAATGGTGCCAGCATAAAATCCCACTGCCAGAGAGTCTGGAAGACAGAACCTTCATCCAGTGAATGATGGAAGCAGAGGCAGATATACACAGCTAAACACTGAACTGAACTCCTGGAATCCAGTGACAGAAAGGGAAGACTGATGAGCAACAGGGTCAAGACTAGGCTGGTTTAACTCACAGAAACAGCTGACCTGAACAAAGAGGAGCTCCTGGACCCCAGACTGATGGCTGGGAGACCAGCATGGGACTAATCCAGACTCCCTGAAAGTGGGTGTCAGTGAGGAGGCCTAGGCAATCTATGGAGTCATGAGTAATATTTATCCTTGGTATACAAATGGACTTCAGGTGCCCATCCCACAATGAGGGATGGATGCTCTCTCAGCCTGGACTCTTGGGGAGGGCCTAGGCCATGCCCTGAATGAAATGACAGACTCTGGAGATCCTCCATGGAG